TTCGCGGTTTTTACGAAATTTGACAAAATTCCAAATTCAAACGCTCATAAAGAATTATTTTGGATTTACTCTCAACTTTACTTTTAGCTCCAATAATAACAATTTATGAATAATCTTGTATTCAATTTATAATTTGGTTTTACTAGACTTGGGTAATGGTTTAGTCTTACACTCTTACGTGTTAGAGGAATTACAGCTTGGTAGGTATAATTATGTGTTTTCAAACATATAATTTATGTAGGTACCTATCGAACAACACTGAATCCATTTCTTTGGAGTCCAATACGCGTTACGTACCATTTTTCCGAATACATTATATATTATTTTCGATTTTGAGCACTTCGCTACGATGGATGTATTGATTTTACAATGATGTGTTGTTTTTTCTGTGTCAAATGACACTCTTTCTAGTCTAGAAAAAATGCTCTGATCATCAACTTCGATGGAGAGGTTTCTTGTAGCAAATTAGATCTAGTTGGCGCTTTTAAGAGGTCAACAGTGAAAATTCTAAGTACTTTTCAAAATGATCGGGAAATACTAACAAATTAATAGAGCATTTGCAGTTGAAATGTCAATATATTTTTTTTAAATAATTGTTTTTTTTTTACTTTTGTCACCAAAAAATTAGACAGTATTATTCACTCGGAATTGTTTATCATCGTATACGATGATTTACCGGTGAATTCAAATTTAACACATTCATTACAGAGCTTAATCTATGTCGAGGTACACTATATCGACTCCTACTGTACCTAAATCCGAGTGGTTACCTACTTTCGGCTTTTTTTCTTTTGCGATCGCTTCGAAAAATAATAGGAATTTTTCAATTTTGACATGTCGATCACGAGATTTTATAATATGATGTACGACTTTTATAACAACGTGACAATAATAGCCACCCCGTCATCATGTTTAATATTATCGTTGTCGAGGCTTCTACGTGAGTAACATACCATAACATAATAATATATATAATAAAGTTATATGTATTAATTTTTATTGTGTGAGTTAATAACAATAATATTATATTCCGTACGAGTCAGTTGATACATAAAATGTTAACTATCGTAATTTATAAAGTTAAATATTATTATACAATATAATAATATTGTTCGTTTAATTTGACATGGAGCGCAACAATGTCTGATATAATACGAATAATCCGGATAAATACGGGCGAAACAATAATTATCCAGAGGGAAGAAGACGGATAATATTATAATTTACAAGCGTTGGCATCATAAACGATCAGCCGAAGCACATAAAAGCTATTATTCGTATTTAATAACTTCGACTACTGAAAAAACGATTAAATACTATCTGAAAGGAAAATGGGCTCTTTATATACAGTTCAACGTGAAATAATTTGAAAATAAAATACATAGGTATTTTAATGTAATAAAAAATACTCGCGACTCTTCGCATTAAGGGAAAACTACGTCGTATTGTAAATGGAATTTATTGTACGTACTTACAACGTCTTCTGTAAAACAAATTTGCCTGCAGTATTATAATATTATAACATTATTATAATCTTAAATCACGTTTAAAACGTCGTAACATATGTTGTGCAATGTATAGTAATACGTACGACTTGTGGCTGAAAGTATATTATATTGTGTGGTTAGTAACTCCATATCTATATAAAATGTTATATGTTATGATCATTTATAAATGAAAGACATTTTAATATAAATATCTAAACCGAAGAAGACAGAAAAAACTCACTTGCAGCAGATATAGTATAGGTTCGCTGATTTGTACGAGTAAAATTAATAATTTATACTTTACTATATTCATGCGATCCGCATAAACTATTATAACATTGTAATATATATCAGTCGCGGTGTCTTTCTCGGAGTGCTTAAGGCAGAAGTAGGTACACCTATACATAATATACCCAATTACTCTTTTTCGCCCCTTTTCTGCCGAAAACTGGATATGGCCTATATATACGTCGTCGTCAGCACTCTAGCATACATTCTGGTGTACCTACCTATATTACAATATTACGGACTACGGTACTCGTACGTCGGCGAGGCCATCGTAGTCTCCTCTCGCGCGTATAACGACATTTTAATAGCAATTTTCAAAGGTAAATTGCACGCATTTGCATAGTAATGTCACCGTCGTGGTGCGTGTGCGATCAATAAAACGGTGTTGTGCATCGCTTCAAAGTTTTTCCCCGGACTTAAAATGCTGCAGGGCCCGCTGCACGGATGCGGCTCTTGTCGAATATATAATACTTACGTGCAGCCAGTGCTCGTATGGGCTCGACGCGGGGATTGGGAGGGGGAGTCTCTCTTCGTTTTAGAAAATATTTATCCATACTTACCCCTTCTAATCATATCATCATAATCGATAAGAAATATATTTTAAACATTTAGATAGGTACGCATATTTTTTTTTACACTTTTGCGCATCCCCTTTTTAATTTTTTTTCTAATTCAATCACTGCGTGCAGCGTATCACACGATATTAAAATAATAATTGTCATACGATTTTTTTTTTCTGCCGGTCAGCGCAGAATCGATTCGGAAAAAGCATAGGTACTCCTCGCCATGCCATGCCAGGTCATACCTATATTGTAATATTATAGCAATTAGTAGTATAATAGCCTATAGTGATAATAATCGGAGACGATCTCGCGAATCGACCGAAGTCGGTGTCGGCGTTATATTTTACGATTTAGAAATGTTCAGGCAAAACGGCGGACGTGAAACATTCGAGGATGGCTCAAACAATTCCGTTTTTAAATCGCACGCAATACTACCTATATCGTTTCGATATTATACTGTAGGTACGTACATGGCCGTAAATAATAATTATTGTAATCTGTATTCGGAATTATTGTGAATAATATCAAGAATACCGCAAGAAAATAATCATAATAGGTATACATATTCAAGTATTGGGCTGGTATATACGCAATTAAGTCAAAACTTATTATCATCATTCATCATATATATATAATAACTACGATACATACCAGTAGGTTCAATATACTGGTATGTACGATTTACAATAGTACAAAACACAACAGAGAAAAAAACTATTCTTATGTTTATTTAACATATACGCGACTACCGTATAGGCATTATTCATTTGGCAGAAAAGACGAAATGAAAATGTTTTTCGACAAACGTATATTTTCTAAAGTGTACGTGCTTTGGGTTTACTATTTAAAAGTATTATCTTGTCAACACGTTTGATGTCAAATATTTAATTAAAATTTCGTCAGCGTGTCATTGTGATAATTCATTATAGCGCTTCTAATTACACATTTAATATTCTTGAAAGTAACAAGATTCAATACAATGTTTAAAACAAGAGCCAAGGGGCGTAGTGTTTGTACTTTTGTAGATCGTAATATTTAATGTGGAACATGGCAAATCTCTGATCTCCCTAGGTTTAATATTCGTAAATATAGATTTAATGCATATTATGTATATAATTCATACAAATATTATATTATACTTATATTATTAGTACCTAATTATTAACGTAAATGTTTTAATTAATTAATGGTTCAATATCTAAGTTTATATCAAAACATGATATTATTATGAAAAAATGTAATTAAATATTAAACTACTAATTAATATTAATTTACATTTTGGTGTACGATGATTGCAGAGGATTAAATTGTGTTTGTCTATCATTATCATAATAGGTACTCGTATTATTACTTTTTCTGTTTTTTCTTAATTAATATTCTTATACGGTGTATACAATTTTTTGCTGTCTTTATATTAGTCTATATTTATCCATGTTTACATTAGAAATATACATTATAATTTTGTCTGACCTACTTACTTAATAAACACTGTTCTTATATCTGATACATTAACTCAGTGTTTCGGCTATCGGTACTAAATTATAGAACACCGACCAAACTTAAGTCATGGGCTTATTACCGGACATTATATCGTTATAGTAGACAAATGTATTAGTTTTTATATTGAACAAATCAAACGTTTGTGTTGATTTTGTTTTAATTATATAAGTTTTGATGATACTCGTTGTCAATGTTTGACTACGACATTTTAAAAACTGACTAAAAACATCTTATAAGAAAAACACTTTAAAATATATTATACAAAAAATAACGCAGAACGCTAGAACACGACGTGTATTACAATTAAAAGGTACATTATTATTGCTCGAAACTTTCCACAAACAGCCAGGTAAATTGGATAACCCAATTAATTAACTTTAAGCAAATATTGACGTTGAACTTTTGGGACGACCACTAGGATTTGTTGTGGATGTGTTTCACAGAAATTGAACAAACGGTGATTATAAATTTATAATATTCAAACGATATACAAGGTGTAATAGAAAGACTTGACGAAAAAAAAATGTATGCTACTTAAACGTATGACAAAAATTCTTAAAATTATACGATACTCATGTCACCTAATTAAAAAAAAAATATTGATATTTTAAAAAATGTTTAAAAATAAACTATTAGACTTAGATAAATGTTTTCACTATCAAAATTGTTCTAATAATCAGATTCACAAATATATACAAAAAATTTTTTTTTTATTTCAGTGTTAAAAAATAAAAATAATTTTATCTATAATATATGTATAGCGCAAGTGACTATAAATTATATATTAAAAAAAAAAAATTAAATATTGATTAGAACAAAAGTTATTCTAAAATTCAGTTCTATCTATTACACCCTGCATAGACAACATGCACGTCAATACGTCATAGTCAAGTTCCCGTTATACATAATATACCTATGTAATATTTGGATATTATATAATATTACGCCATAGTATAATATGGTCGTGGTGAATTTAGTAATAGTAACAGTAATAATAATAATAATAATAATAATACGTTTCGTGCACCTTCTGTAACACTATTAGGTACCATTATCATAATACGAAGGTGTTCGGAATTCTGTACGTTGATTGAAATCTCCGGTCAAAACTTAATAGTTTTGAAATGTAATTATTTTAATTTGATTTTTTTCGTTTTTACAGTCACGTCACACAAACGGCGTCTTGGTTGCCGCCCGTAGAAGCGTGGCCCAAAGATCCCGGTGCCAAGTCTTTGCCGTACGGCTGGGAACAGGCGCTCGACGGCGATGGAAGACCTTATTTTATCAAGTAAGCATAATATTATTATACACATCATATTATGATCATAAAGAAACATTTGTCCTTTGCTGGCCTGCAAGGTTCCCGACCATAATAATAAATATATAGGTATAATATGTTAGGTAGGTATATAATATAGGCCCGGAAGTCCGTACTATAAATGAAAAAAGTGATCCAAACGCAAACCCATCAAATGAACAAATGTAAACAATAATCATACAAGCGCAAAAAAAAAGTATTACCTTTTTTAACAACCCACCGGCGTAAAAATAAACAACCGTCGTGACCTGTTATTATTACAAGCAGGATAGGTAACAAGTGCGAAACCACCCTTTTCGTCGGGAAAGGACTTTTTGGAGTTATAGGCAGTATTACATATCAGTCCCTTGCCCCCCTTAACCCTTCAGTTACTATGATATCCTTGTCGAGTCACGGAGACTAAAAGTCTGTATTTTCCTTCTCATTTCGTACAGATATCGATTATGGACTGTCGACGATTACCACAACCTGCACGTTTCATGCACGGTGAATTAGAATTTGTTTTTAAAATCGCCTTTTGAACAAAATATATCTCGTACGAATAATACGATTGGAATTGATAAGAAATATTGATAACTCGATCCCTTGAAATTGTTTTTAGCCGGTTACGATCTTGATAGTTACGCTGAACCGTCGATAAATCACCATCGACTCTTTGGTGACCGTTTCATAAAAAAAATCCTTACTTATCTGCTATGCCGCCGTATTTTACACAGTGACTGTTGATCCCTGGGAGGTTAGGTTCGTAACGAGACGGTCCATACCAACGTATCTGTACGAAACGTACTATACAAAATATGTACATTGTACATAATATGACGTTACAGTTGTACTAAACGAAGACATATAGACAATAATAATAATAATAATATTATTAACTCCAATCAATCTGCCATAGCGTTCGTGTGAGTAGGTCGTTTGAACGGTTCAATATAACGATAATTAGTGACCGGAATTTATCGTCCGCCGAAAAGTCGGTAGTGTAGTTTTTTTTATCTTCCTAGTCATATCATCATTAATTCCACAGTAAAAAATAAAAAAAATGTTACGGAATAATTGCTGCGCGTCGAACGCGTTAACTTTGCGTATAAACTATATTATTATATAAAAATCGTCGAGAACAATGCGTATACCTACGCTTTGCTCGATATTTTATTATTATTATTTATCTTCACATTATATTATAATAATATATGTAGATATATGGTATCGTTGTCCTAAATTATTACGAGGTCGTGCCCTAATAAAATCGATAAAAAGTACACGTGCAAAAAAAAAAAAAACAATTTTCCACCGACAAAAAACAGTAACGATCGTATCGTATTTTATTATTTCTGTTTTGTATATAAATAATCATATCTTATTAGGTTTTTTTTTCAGCAATTGGCCATAGTATATATTTTATTATTTTACTCGTAATACTATTGTAGTATAGTACCTACATTGTTTCAATAATATTTATAATTTATAAATTCATATTCAAAGGTTTAATCTACATATTTAATTAATTCAATTATAATGTAAAAATTAAAAACCATAACTAATACCGTCCGTACATAAATTGACCATTTTACACCAATAGATACCAATAGGTACCGTGTTAAAATATAATAATGTGATACTACCAAAATAGTTGCAGATAAGTTATGCATTTTATGCCATATAGTGCTCAATTATCCAGCATTTTCTATAGAGTTCATAAATATGTGATTTTATTTTGCCAATATTCATTTCTTTTTTTAGTATTATAAATAGGTACGTAATTACATTATGTTTGAAAACTACACAATTTTTCATCCATAACTAAATGTTTTCAATAGAATAATTAGCTTGGAGTCCGAAACATCTTGAGAAAGAATTTTACATATATTATTTAAAAATAAAATAATTTAAATAATATTCTAACATTTTCAAAAAATTATTAAAATTTAAAAAATATTAGCACGCGTAGACTATTTTTCAAAGTGAAAATGAAAAATGTACTGTCCATTAATATTTATCTATGCAATGGTTGATAGGCAGAGGAATTAATATTTGTGTGCGAACATTAACACATTCGTCTTGCTAATATTCAGGTCAGGTGGCGTTTGCGGAGGTGTTTATTCATCAAGTCGATATATCACGTTCTAAATATTCACGGCCCGACATGTTTCCCAACGTTAATTGATATAAATCATTGCAGATTTATAAATTCAGTCAGTCACTATAAATCTAATTTTCAAAAGTATAAATAGATACTATTGGGTCTATGCGGCATGTGAAATAATATGCATAATGTTCTACAACTATTTTTGAATGGTCATAATATACGCGATATATAATATAATATTTAATTACCTATGACCAAAACTCCGTCATTTAATTTATGTTCAAATCCAAATGATTGCCGTACATTCCTCGAAAGACCTGAGGTGGAAAACTCCGTGTAAAGTAATTGTTATAGGTACGTGATTTATGGTATATCTACACGTGCTGCAGGATTCATGATAGTTATATTATCGTTACACTATATTATATTATACACTTGTAATCGTTTTCCAGATATCTTGTGTAATCCGTTTAAAAACCAATTCGATCGAAGGTATGGAATTGTTTTAATGTAATTGTCCGAGTGATGGTCTAATATAAATAACAGTAAACATAGCATTAACAACTATATACAGACTGTTCATTTAGTTTCGTTTCCTTTCAACTGTGTCGTAATGTTCCCAATACCCGTGATGTCGTTGAATTGCCTAACTAACGCGCCTTCTTTACGTGTACATCCATATAATATTTCCATTGTGCTTATAACAATATATTATGACGTGCGTGTGTGTGTTTTTCTATAACTAAATGTATATTATAATATGTATATATTTTATTAATAATTATATACCTAATGCGAGAGTTCTCTACCAAGTCTGTTACTGTACGCATTACGCGTAGGTATACATCATGGAAATCACGTGACAAAAATAGTAAATAATTTGAAACTTGTCCTATTATATTTTATCCTTACTATTATTATATAGACATTATATTGTTATGATGACTTATTACTCAAGTATTATAAGTAATTTAAGAACATTTCCAGTCACCCGCCTAATTAAACGTGTGTTAGAAATGTGTAAAGTCGACTATTATTATTATTGAAACAACCGCATTATGATTTCCGATTCATATCAAACGAGGTTTTATTATGAGACATTTTGTATTTAGAGCTTTTTCCCATTGGAGTCAGCATACATATTATATCATATACGGAGTAACGCCATTTGATATTTTTTCTTATTTTTCTACATTCATAATATTATATCCATGATCAATATTCCTCTTAAAATGTTATACTTATTGTACCTAGTAGAACATAATATTATTGTAGAAAAATGTTATATAATGTGAAAAAAATATTACACAACAAACACTGTATAGGGGAGTTAAAAGAATTTAGTGTTATCTTTTATATTCATCAGTTTTTGTCCGTATTTAGTCGTTGAAGTCTGTTTTAATTGAACTCGGTATGTAGTGGATTCTCGTAAAATCGCTTATGAATTCACATGCAATTAAAATTGCATAATTTGAGACACGCGATGTAAAATTAACCTATATAATATGTATAGTGTATATATAGTATGGAAGACAAACAATAAAGCGTAATAATATTTCACCCTCGTACTGTTGGAGGGATTAAAGAGCTATTTATTCATCAAAGGTCAAAGTAATTTTTTATTTGACGAGTTTACCGGCATATATCATCCATTACCCTTAGATAATATTTATGCAAAAATACAAATACAATTATACTGTTATCGAACCATATTTTCGTTTCGAACCGAAGGTAATATTATTATTTTTAATGGCAAAATAACAATCAAGCATATTACTATATTATGGTAATGTATTATGCTGAATTGTAAATAAAATAATATATATATTCATATATTTAAATACGTATTGTATTGCTATATTTCAGACTAATAATTATTGTAAATCATTATGTATGTGCATAATATATATTTGACATATAATTAACGAGTAACTAGTTTTCGCACTTGAAGGCAGTTAGTCTTTCCGGTTATTTTAAATAATGCTAAGGTACATACCTGTAATAATGGTATTAAGTGATTTTTTCATCGGTAAAACAAACATAATATTTAGGATTCGTGTTTACTGGATAGCATTTCAAAAGAAATAAACCGTTATATATTTCACGTTCCTTGTCCACATTGTTGAACAATCACAATACTGCATTTTGTACAAACACGAAGCAATAACCCGCTGAACTATCTCATGATATAACCTACAGAGCTTGTTTACTTAAATTTTGTACAGTAATGTATTATTCAACGATTTTTGATATTTACACAAACAAGATATATTGAAATAAACTAGAGTTTCTAATCATAATAATATTATATATAATTGATCAGTAGCCAGAATACAACTGAAAACCACGTAGAGGTTGAAACTCCGTTAATAATATGTTCACGGGGTGGCCATAGCCTGCAAGTTCCGGAATATTTTACAAAGTCGTTGAGATGCAGACAAAGCTCATTTAGCAATAATGTGCCTAGGATGCATTAAATTAAGTTCGTTTCCGTACAGACCTACCTGTTTACGTAAATTTCGTACAGTAGTGTATTATTCAACGATTTTTGATATTTACACAAACAAGATATATTGAAATAAACTAGAGTTTCTAATCATAATAATATTATATATAATTGATCAGTAGCCAGAATAAAACTAAAGCCACGTAGAGGTTGAAACTTCGTTAATAATATGTTCACGGGGTGTCCATAGCCTGCAAGTTCCGGAATATTTTACAAAGTCGTTGAGATGTAGACAAAGCTCATTTAGCAATAATGTGCCTAAAGGATGCATTAAATTAAGTCCATTTCCGTACAGGCCTACGTACGTAAGCGCGCCGTTGTGTATAAATAGTTGTGCAACGCGTAAAGACAATGCATTATGTAATAGCTTCTATA